ATGTCGTGGTTGTCTGTCATGGTCTGGTGGTTAGGCACTCGCCTCACGTTCTGCACGTCGAAAATTCGAATCCCATCACCGAAAATACTTGCCCTTTCGAGCGTGTGGTAAAAGAGTTGGCGGTGGGTGACGTCGACTATCAATCTAGTCCATCTCAGCTAACGTAGGGACGACAGCACTCGACTAGCTTTGTGCTAAATTCAACAAAAACAAAACTCGTGTATGTTGCGTCATTAATTATTCATTCGCTGTAATTTCCTCCTTACGTACTAGATCAGATTATTTTGACAATCTCGTTTAATATTTGAACCTTCTGATTCCCGTCCTTTAGTCCAACAAGCTCAAAATTTGATTCCGATGGATCCAAACGGATCATCAGATCCATACGTGAAGGTGAAACTGATTCCGGAGAGCAGAGACTCAACCAAAAAGAAGACCAAGACAATCAGGTCCTGCCTAAATCCCCAATGGATGGAAACTATCACAATGTAAGCTTCAGCCAGCTATAAAGTTAAATTTCCTGCTTTTCAGATAACAGAGTTTTGTTGATTTGTTTCACAGTATGTTTACATTGTTTAGGCTCGATAACGCTAACACATTGAGTTTTGTTTTCTCGAAGAATATGAAGTGGAGTAGTTAGGTTCATCAGATTTATTTTATAGAAAACAGATAAAATGGACAGTATATAATTATTAAACTTATTAGTCTTGTTCTGTAGAAAACAGAGAAAATAGGTCGTTTATAATCCCTATATTAATCAGTCTTACTGAATTAAAAACAGAAAAAAAACAGGTATTGTGTAATTGTTACATTAATTTGGCTATAGAAATGGTTAGTGTATAATCGTTATGTTCATCAGTCTTTTTCTACAGAAAATAGAAAAAAAAATGGGCAGAGCATAGTCGTTCCATTGTTCTCTTATTCTACAGAATAAATGGGCATCTTTTTAGTGACTGAGCGGTAAGCCTAAAAACCGGGTTTCGATACCCATGGTGGGTTCAACCCAGGTAACCCATTGTGTAGCTTTACGCTTAACAACAAGCAAACAAACGGTGTATTGTTGTTGTTTTTCGTCGTTATCTTATTTCAATTGATTTGTTAACATAAACAGCTTTGATTAAAACAAACTGTGCCATGGATAACATTATTTTCTTCGCAAAGACGGTTTTACTTTTCTTTCACGATGTTATTATTTTAACTATTAAATCGTTAGTAACGAGTCATTTCTTTCTTACGAAAAACGTGCAGATTATTGTCAGAAACGGAAATAGTACAACAACTGAACCTTATCATCAAGAGGTACGACACGAAAGTAAAATAGAAACTACAATTAACAGTAAAGTTGCTCAGAAAAGACCACATTAAAACATTTTTTTTACTAAATGTAAAATATTTAAAGAGTTTTTTGCATTCAGATTGGAATACAAATAAGGATATGATTCACTCTAGTAATAATCTCTGACTTAAGAGGGCAGTAATGCATTTATATTTCCTCTCTGGCTAGTAATTTGATTTGTTTAGAAACGAAAGGTGAGAGGCGTTTCAAATACCCATCATCCAATGAAAATCTGGTATATTGTGACCAATGAAGTTCGGTTCTAGGTCAAACCACACAAGGGTACTTCCTTAATTGACCAGTAAAAAATAATTTTCACTTAGAAATATGACGTTAGTAATTGTGCAAATAAGATTTGGTCATCGAAGAGTCTGTAAATACCATTGGTTCGATTAATAAACCAAATATCCAATGATAACAAACAGAATATTGTGTTTGGTTGACAACTATTGATGGTTTGTAAATACCATTGGTTCGATTAATAAACCAAATATCCAATGGTAACAAACAGGATATTGTGTTTGATTGACAGCTGTTGATGGTTTGTAAATACCATTGGTTCGATTAATAAACCAAATATCCAATGGTAACAAACAGGATATTGTGTTTGGTTGACAACTATTGATGGTTTGTAAATACCATTGGTTCGATTAATAAACCAAATATCCAATGGTAACAAACAGGATATTGTGTTTGATTGACAGCTGTTGATCGCTTGCAACTGTTAGTTTTTAGTGTATGTTTGTTCAGTATCGTCTTAGTTAAAGTGCTGTAAGTTATACTAATTTGTTTTGTTTACTCCAAATCCAGTGATTTACACTCCGAGGACAAGGACAGGAGGGTGCTAATAGAAGTATGGGACTGGGACAGAACATCCAGAAATGACTTTATGGGGTCTCTATCATTTGGTGTTTCCGAAGTCATGAAATCTCCAGTAAATGGTTGGTTCAAGCTACTGACTGCAGAAGAGGGAGAATTCTATAACGTTCCAGTGCCATCAGAGGACACTGACATTGTAGAGTTGAAAAAGAAAATGAAGGTTTGGAGCTACTTTGATACTCTCTATTACAGATATTTTAACTCTATAGTAGATTTTATCATTATATCTTTCCCGATCAGTTTACTTAATTTACTATAAATTTGTACTTTTTAAGAGGCCTTATTTGACGAATATTTATCAGATTGAATTATTTATTTGTATAGTTATCCTTTATGCAGGATCTTTATCGTATGATAACTTTTATTTTTTGAGGGGGAGGGGGGAATCTCCATTTATGGTTTTGGGTAAAACATGCTGATTGTCCGAATTAGACTCCACGTTTGCTACACAACCATGTTATTTGTTTGCTCAGGAGTTTGCCTTTTTTTCAGAGCCACACTTTCCACCAGAAGTCCCAGAGCACTGAAAAACTCCAAAATAACATTGCCCCCCAGCAATCCGTGGGTCGGCAGGAAGTGGTGCGTGTATCGGACTTTAATTTTCTAATGGTTCTGGGAAAAGGAAGTTTCGGAAAGGTTAGACTTTGTTCTTGTTGTGCTCAACAACAACAAAAAAAGAAAGAAAAGAAATATTCTCGAACCATAGCATACTTAGGCGGAGTAAATTCTAGGTTATAAATAGAAGTAGATGGATATGTAACAATGTATTCCTGTTTTTGTACACTTTAAATGTATACGTTTTCTACATCGTATTAATACATCTTCCCAGAATACTACGAAAAAAAGCAAACGAAAGACTAGAGATACATCACTACTAGAAACTACTAGAGATACATCACTACTAGAAACTACTAGAGATACATCACTACTAGAAACTACTAGAGATACATCACTACTAGAAACTACTAGAGATACATCACTACTAGAAACTACTAGAGATACATCACTACTAGAAACTACTAGAGG